TTTTTTTTTTTTTAAAGTAGAGAAGGGATCTCACTCTTGCTCAGGCTGTTCTCAGACTCCTGAGCTTAAGCAATCACCCACCTCTGCCTCCCAGAATGCTAGGATTACAGGTGTGAGCCACTGTGTCAACCCCTCTCCCCTCTTCTTTTTGGTACTTTTAAATTACTATATACATATCATAGTTATATGTATTTTTGGAATATATATGATATTTTGACATGTGTATACAATGTCTAATGATCAAGTCAAGGTAACTGGGCTATCCATCACCTCAAACATTTTATCTCTTCTATGTATTTGGAACATTATAAAATTCTTCTCTTTTAGCTAATTTGAACTATACAATAAATTATTATCTATCATTCTCCTATTATACCATCAAATATTTGAACTTATTCCTCTTATCTAACTATATTTTTGTGCCCATCAACCAATTCTTTTTTCATCCCCCCCAACTATTTTAATAAAATACTTATAAATACATTTGGCATATGCTCCCTATAAAATACATATAAATGTCTTCCCTCTGTTTCTCTATCCAGATGTACAAAATCCCTCTAATCTTATAACCCACATTTTTATGTTTTGTCTTTTCTTTCTTTCTTTTTTTTTTTTTTTTTGAGACAGAGTCTCACTCTGAATATAGTACCATGAAGTCACAGCTCACAGCAACCTCAGACTCCTAGGCTCAAGCAATTATCCTGCTTCCAGAGTTCTTGAGACGACAGGCACCTGCCACAATGCCTGGCTATTTTTAGAGATAGGATCTCACTCTGGCTCAGGCTGGTCTCAAACTCTTTAAGCTCAGGCATCTACCCACCTTGGCCTCCCAGAGTGCTGGGATTACAGGCATGAGCCACTGCACCTGACCTGACCCATGTTTTTCAAGCCGGCTTCTCACATTGCACCCTGCGGCCACAGAGCATAAATAATTTGCTTACAATGAAACAAACCTTATTTAACTCACTTAGGTTCCCAAATACCAGGATTATAAAGTTTCTGTCTTTGATAGATATAAAGCTCTGTCTTTGATAACCTCATGCCAATCTCTTCAACCTCTCTTAGAGACATATCGACCAGCACCGGAGTGCAGTCCTAAAGCCTTGATTTGCTCTCCATAAGTTTATTTCAACTTACTAAACACCTGTGGCAAACCTGAAACCTTCGGTTTTCTATTTCATTCATTTCTACGCCATCAGATCAATTTCATGTTTTTTTTTCTCTTGCCAATTACTAACAAAAGGAACGAGTCCTGATTGGACTCCTAGAATTAAAAAGCATATGGCTTCCTGCAGATACACAGGAGAAGGTGTTAGATATCAATCTCTTGCTAACAAACCCAGGCTCAGCCTTTTCTCTCATCTGTCTTACCCTTCCCTCCCAGAAAATGAGTTCTCTGGCTTGCTTCAGGAGACTTACTTGTGAAAAGCAAATCTTCCTCAGATAAACTACAAGCAATAAATGACCAAGCCCACCAAAACACAAAAGAAAGGCCGGGTGTGATGGCTCACACTTGTAATCCCAGCACTGTGGGAGGCCAAGGTGGGTAGACTGCCTGAGCTCAGAAGTTCAAGACCAGCCTGAGCAAGTGTGAGATCCGGTTGGTAAAAATAGCCCAGCATTGTGGCAGCACCTGTAGTCCCAATTACTTGGGAGGCAAAGGCAAAAGAATCACTTGAGCCCAAGCCTTTGAGGTTGCTGTGAGCTGTGACAGTACAGTGCTCTACAGAGAGCAACATAATGATTCTCAAAGAAAAACACACACAAAAGAAAACGATCACCTTCTCCTCTCATTGCATTAAAGACGTATCTGTACAGACACATGATGGTTTAAAAACTGATTCCCTTTTAGATTAAACTGTATGTAAAAATGTTCTTTGAAATTAGATTAAGAGGAGAAAGAGGTATATGCAGGAACATCATAAACTCTCCACTGTCTGTCTAGATCTTTCTCCTGACTCCAGATTCTTATATCCAGGTGTATATTAGATCAGCTAAGACGTTTAACAGGCATCGCAACT